TTCTTAAAAAACTGATAAATTACAGTTTTAACCCCTTAATTATAGTTTAATGTTTACCCATTGTGCCATCAGCTGACATTTTATTATAAAGTTAAAGACATAAATATCCCAATTTTTTTTTTAACATTTTTTTTCTCCACAGCTCTGGGAAACAAAGGTTTTGCAGTCTAAAGCAACGGAAGACTTCTTCAGAAATAACGTCCATTCACCTGTGTTCACCCTTCAGTTGCCAAACAGCTTGCACCAAACATTGCAGTCATCAACAGGTTGGATATAGCTAGTAAATTAGTACTATTTTGGTCTTCAGAACAAATTCTCATTTGGTGGTGGCTTTATATTAGACAGGGTAACGTTCTTAAGGTGAGAGGGCTTGGACCTCAAAACCATTACTATTAAATGAACACAGAATAAGCCATCATCCCATAATTATTGGCAACAAAATTAGGTTATTCAAGCTAGCTTTTCAAAATATTAAAGTCCACAAAGATGACCAAGTGTTACTTCCGAGGAACAAGTTACATTGTTTGTGGGCTATTGGGAGTACCCACTAGTTATTTCAGAGAATGTGATTGGGTTGAGACAAGGAGTAACCCAGCCACCATTGCTGAAAAAGGAGAGGGAAAGATGGGTGGTTGCATGCTTGTGCATTCTTTATCTTTCTCTTGCTTGTTGTATATATTATAAATCTGCTATTGTATTGGAAGTAAAATGGAGAGTTAACAAGAATGTGGAGATTATTCAGGCTGCTTCACGGTTTGGATATTATATAATGATGACTAGAAATTAACCCTGCATACTTTTCTTCATTTCTTGGACTTGAAACCTCTGCTTTTGAGGGAAATAATTTTCCATTTTATGTGTATCAATTTAAACTGGAAAAAAGTGGCTAAGAAAAGATAAATGATACTGTGCTTTCTAGCGTTTATTCCTTCTTTTCTGATTCTTATAATTTTTATGCTATCCTAATGTGTGCGTGTGTGTGTGTGTGTGTGTGTATATGTGTATGTCTACATCCAGCACACACACACACATAGGTTTTATTTGGTTTAGTTGAAGTAGATTAATGTCTGCCAGAAGTGAGGGCAGATTTTGGATTAGATTTTGGATTGGATTGTCAGTAATAACTAGACTGTTCATTGCACACTTGGGAAAATTCAAAGGAAAATCACATGGGCCAAGGTGAAGAGAAAATAGTAAGGAGGCTAGTATCTTGTTTATTACAAAAGGAGAATTTAAGTGTGGCAGCAATTATAACTTAAAAAAAAAAGTTAATGAATATTGAATTACCAGACTTTTATCTAATGTTAGTGCTTATAAAGTATAACTTTGCTCTATAAGAAGTAGCCACAGCAGTTTTAATTACTAAGTTGACAAAGAAACATTTTACATCAGTTTCTAGAGTTTTGGTTATGCTTTTGTTTTTAACTTAACTATTTTATTAGGTCATCCCTTTTATTTACTTAAATAACATTTTTTTTTTATTGAAGAACTTTAAAGAATTTTTTTTTTTTTTAAACCTCAGAGTGACTTGGAGGGTGGCCAATGTGGAGGAATGAAAGACTAGACTGTTTTTTATCAAAAGCAGTTAACACTTCTCAGGTTCTTTGTCATTCAAAATTGCAATACTTGATTTTGCCACAAGATGGTAATATTACCAGTGATTTAAATCACAAAACAGTTTTGCAACTAATATGTCTATCTGGCTTTCATTCTGTACTGTATTCTTATTTTCTTTCTTGGAAGTTAGAATAATAGAAATTACTACATTTAAACAAGACAGTTTTTATTTTCTACATCATTTATAATGAAAAGGTTTAGGAGGCAGTACATGTATCCTTTAAAAAACGCATTACAGGCCTTGTTTTTATCCCTCTTCATTTCTAGGTTCCCTACAATAAGATTCTTGAAGTAAATAGCCTCATAAAATTGAAGTACTTCTTAATTATATCTTCTCATTGTAGGCTTTTAAAAGCCTGATTAAAATAACCTAAACTAACTTCTACAACCTTTTTATCTCTTGATAACAAGTTCAAATTAAATCTACAATGTAGTAAGTTATTTGCCTTTGTTCCATCTTTAAAGCTTTTGCCCTATCATATTTTTTTTGACTCTATTATCCATTTGCTTAATAATTTCCTGTATCTTCAGTTGTCAACTTTTTGTTTTGGTCTCAGGACCCCTTTACACTCTTAAAACTTGAGGACCTCGAAGAGCTTTCTTTTATGTGGGTTGTTAAGTATCTATTTATCATATTAAGATTAAAGCTGAGAAATTTAAAAAATGTTTTATAAATTCAAAAAATTCATTATATGTTAACATAATAACATGTATTTGTTAAAAGTAACTATTTTCCAGGGGTGCCTGGGTGGCTCAGTCATTAAGTGTCTGCTTTTGGCTCAGGTCATGATCCCAGGGTCTTGGGATTGAGCCCTGCATCGGGCTCCCTGCTCCGCGGGAAGCCTGCTTCTCCCTCTCCCACTCCCCCTGTTTGTGTTCCTTCTCTCACTGTGTCTCTCTCTGTCAAAAAAAAAAAAAAAAAGTATTTTCCAGAACAAAAAGTATTTAATGAGAGGAATGGCTTTGTTTTACTTTTCTGCAGATCTTTTTAATGTCTGGCTTAATACAAGGCAGCTGGATTCTCATACTATTTCTAAATTCAATCTGTTGTGATACGTAGTTTTGGCTAAAGTGTATGAAGAAAATCTAGCCTTCCATGGATGTTTAATTGGAAAAAGGAGTATTTTAATAGCAATTTCAGGTAACTTGATACTATACTAAAACTCAACAAGTGGTAGTTTCTGAGAGCTTAGTTTCAAGGTGGGAAACTTTATCAGTGGACTTTTTGTAATGTTAAAGTTCACTGGTGTGTCTTGCACTTCGAAGGACTCCTTAACTGTGATTTTGTAACATATGTTAGTTATTTGGAAAATACTGTTTCACTGAGTTGAGCACTTGACACTTTAATTATACAAGATAAAATACTATTAATATCACCACACATTTCATCAGAAAAGTATTGGAAAGCTGTCAAGCTCACTGTGGTGGATATAAAGTTTACAAAATTAAGATTTTTGGTTGAAAGCTTGAATTTTACCATTGCCAAACAAAGACTGTCAGTTTGTTTTTCTTGAAGTGATGGCACACTTCATTCATTAAAAAAAAAAAATGACTGCCAAATAGACATGTCTGAATAACCATAGTTTGTGTCACTTATTCTTTCAAGTAAAAATAGTGTTTCTTCAAGAGATGAGATCAGCTCTCTACTTAAATAACAGCACCAGTCCTTTTCCATATATTTCCTTGTGTATCTGTATGCTGCAGAAATGCTTTGTGTTCTTCCCATTTCATCCCACAGAATATTAAAAGGAAGTATCCTTGAGGGTTGAAATTTCATAAAAATAATTCTTTATGGTAACATTCAGGAACTTCTTTAGTGAAACCGTTTTATTGTTACTGTTTGTTTTTTTTTCTCTTTTTTGCTGTGAGTGAGCGGTGATGGAGAACAAATAAAGTGACCACTAGTCAGGTTTGGTAATACTGCCTTAATTCATGCTAAGGTGCCTTCACTTTTTTTTTTTTTTTTTTAAAGATTTTATTTATTTGACAGAGAGAGACAGCAAGAGAGGGAACACAGGCAGGGGGAGGGGGAGTGGGAGGGAGAGGGGGAGAAGCAGGCTTCCCACTGAGCAGGGAGCACGATGTGGGGCTCGATCCCAGGACCCTGGGATCATGACCTGAGCCACCCAGGTACCCCAATCACCTTTTTTTTTTAAATTTTTTTAAAGTAGGCTCTACACCCAGCATGGAGCCCAACACAGGGCTTGAACTGATGGCCCTGAGATCAGGACCTGAGCTGAGATCAAGAGTCAGATGCTTAGGGCACCTGGGTGGCTCAGTCTGTTGAACCTCCGACTCTTGGTTTCGGCTCAGGTCATGATCTTGGGGTCCTGGGATGGAGCCCTTCGTCGGGCTCTGTGCTCAGTGGCGAGTCTGCTTGAGATTGTCTCTCTTCCTCTCCCCCTTCCCCCGCTGGTGCACATGCAGTCTCTCTCTAAAAAATAAAATCTTTAAAAAAAAAGAAGTTGGAGACTTAACCGATTGAGCCACCCAGGCGCCCAAGGTGCCTTCACTTTTACTCATCAGTGCTCTGCACTGTAAGCACAAATGTCAAAAAAGAACAAAAAAATTGAGAAATGAAAAATTTTGTCTTGGTATTATAAAAATATTTTGACCTTGTGAACACGTTGAAAGGGTCTCATGGACCCCTGCGGGTTTGCAAGAACTGCTATTCTATTCTTAGGGTGATTATATATAGTTTATAATCCACTTTTTAAAAAAGCCAATGTTTTTAGAACTTTACATTCACAACAAATTTAAGAGAAGGTACAAAGATTTCTCATATACCTCTTGCCCCCATTCATGCATAGTCTCTTCAGTTATCAACATCCCCCACCAGAGGGGTACATTTGTTACAATTGATGAACCTACATTGACATACCATAAACACCCAAAGTCCATAGTTTGTTATTGCTCTTGGTGTTGTATATACTATGTGTTTATGCAAATTTATAATGACTTGTATCCATCATTACGGTATCATACAGAGTATTTTCATTGTCCTAGAAATCTTCTGTGCTCCTCCTATTCATTCTTTCCTACCACACCAACTCAGGGCAACCATTGATATTTTTATTGTCTCCATAGTTTTACTTTTTTCAGAATGTCCTATAGTTGGAATCAATCATGTAGTATCTAGCCTTTTCAGATTGGCTTATTTTACTTAGTAATATGGTGTTAGGATTCCCTCATCTCTTTTTGTGGCTTGATAGCTCATTTCTTTTCAACACTGAATAATATTCCATTGTCTGGATGTGCCGGTTTATTTAATTGTTCACCTACAGAAGCACATCTTGGTTGCTGCCAAGTTTTGGCAATTAGGAGTAAAGCTGCTGTGTGGAGGTTTATGTGTGGATGTAAGTTTCCAACTACCAAGGAGAGTGATTACTGGGTTGTATGCTTAGTTTTGTAGGGAACCACCAAATTGTCTGTAAAAGTGTGCCATTTCACATTCCCACCAGCAATGAGTGAGAGTTCCTGTCGCTCCACATCCTTGCCAACATTAGGTGTTACCAGTGTTCTGGATTTTGTCCATTTTAATAGGGATGTAGTGGTATCTCATTGTTTTAATTTGCATTTTCTTGATGACTTATGATGTGGAGCATATTATATGATTATTTGCCATCTGTATCTTCTTTGATGAAGTGTCTTTTAAGGTCTTTGGCCCATTATTTAATTGGGTTGTTATGGTTGAGTTTTAAGAGTTCTTTGTGTATTTTGGATAACAGCCTATTATCAGATATGTCTTTTGCAACATTTTTTTCCAACCTGTGTCTTTTCATATTATCCTGATTTTTTTTTTAAATTTTTATTTATTCATTTGAGACACAGAGATACAGAGAGAGAGAGTATGAGCAGGGGGAGAGGCAGAGGGGGGAGAAGCAGGCTCCCTGCTGAGCCAGGAGCCCGATATGGGGCTCGATCCCAGGACCCTGGGATCATGACCCGAGCCAAAGGCAGACGCTTAACCATCTGAGCCACCTAGGTCCCCAATCCTGATGTTTTTTTCAAAGGAGTTTTAAATTTTAATAAAACCCAGCTTATCAGTTATTTCTTTCATGGATTGTATCTTTGCTGTTGAATCTAAAGTCATTGCCATACTCATGGTCATCTAGATTTTCTTCTATCTTCTAGGAATTTGTAGTTTTGCATTTTACATTTAGGTCTCGTCTATTTTTAGTCATTTTTTTTGAAGGGTGTAAAGTCTATGTCTAGTTTCATGTTTTTTGCATTGGATAGCCCGTTCAGCCATTTGTTGAAGAGACTATCTTTGTGCCATTGTATTGCCTTGCTTTCTGTGTTAAAGGTCAGGTTGACTATGTTATGTGGGTCACTTTCTTGGCTCTCTGTTCTGTTCCATTGATGTATTTGTCTGCTTTTTCACCAGGTAACACTGTCTTGATCACTGCAGCTTTCTAGTAAGTCTTGAAGTGGGGTAGTGTCAGTCCTCCAACTTTTTCCTCCTTGAATATCACACTGGCTCTTCTGGGTCTCTTGCCTATAATCCACTTTTGAGAGAGAAATGGGATTTCCTTAATAATAACCTCAGAATAATAGGTGTAAACTAGGACTGTCCTGGGTTAACTGGGACATGGAGTCACTTTGTCTATGATTGTCCTATTTCTAGAGCAATTCAAATCTGTGTTTGGTCTCCATGTCACATAGTTTTTTGATGAAACTATCATCAGTCATTGTGGGAGCAAGAAAGGGAAGAATAGGAATTTTGAGAGGTTTGTGATAGCTTTCATCTTTGAGCATTCAAACTCCTTCAGGTACAAACTATATGTCCAGTTGTTCCTGAATTTAGATCTGGTGAAAATTTTAGCAATGCTGTTGGTTCTTGATGTGATTTGAGGAATATTCAATTTGGTTATGAGAGATGTGCATATGTTAATGAGTAGTCACAAAGAATATTGACCAGTCTTTGCACCTCTTGAGTCATGTGACTTGGATATTAAGATTTGGAATGGTTTAAAGCAGGACCAGGAATTGTGACGTTAGTAACTGCCTTTAATGTAGCAAAGACTTCTTGTATAGGAAAAAAATAGCCTTGTAAATGTTATTATGTAACATTATCTCTTTCTTAATTTATACTTCTTAAATTACATTTGTGGGATTGAATTCTTTCTGTATTGTAAAGCCTATTGTTTGTGAAATTTAATATTTCTAGAATATATACGTGAAGACCAAAATTCTAACACTCTTAGTTTAAGTAAAGACACATATTCAGTTAAAACTTAATTGGTTATTGGAACCATCTTGAATATTTTAAAAAGCGTGTTTCAGGCACATATAATGGTATATATAATTTGTGAAAGTATGCAAATGGTGCATTTAGTATAAAAATTAAGTAGGAGCTGCATGAAACTTCACTATAAAACTGTTCAATACTTTTATTCTGATGACTATAAAGAAACTCTTAAACTCTTATAGCTCTATTTGATTTATATAAGATTAGAGAATTATCCTTTAGGATTTATTGCAAGGTATTTAAAAGAGGAGGATTGTTGCTATTTTTCCTTAAGAAATTCATTTAATTGCTTTAGACAGCGTGTTAACAGATTTTTGTTTCCTCTCAGGCTGTGGCTTCAGCTGTACTAGCTTAGGCTTAGCTCACTTCAGCTAATTAAGACTAATACCCTTGTGTTCCTGCCACACCAATTCTTTCTAATTTAGCCTTTCTAAAAGAATGCCTGTTAATAAGCAAAGCCATAGATGAACAGAGGATAAAAATAATTTTCTGCTACATTAATCATCAATCTCTGTAGCTTCACTTCTGTTGTTCTAATGTGGGAAGAGTGGTTAGTTTAAAAAAAATATTTGCTCTTCTGAGTGACTTGTTCATGATGGAGCCATTTTAGTGTCAGAAGCAAATTTTTGGGACAATTTAATGTGGTATGTAAAAAAACGCCATAATAAACATTACGTTTAATATTATATGTGCTGCATAAACATGCTAAAACATTCTCTTTTTTATTAAAAGGCAAAATGATACTATCATAGTCATGTTCAGTTAGGTAAAATGAAGCTTGAGGTAAACTTTAAGGTTACATTGATCAACTGAGGTCTTTCTACTATAGTTACTGTTCTTTACACTTATTTTTTAATGCTTCCCTTTCTAACCATTAGGTCAACGTTTTAGCTGTATTATAAACAAAGAGCATAGAAAGTTGATAGGTAATAAAGAAAAGATATGTGAGATTGCAGCTTTAATGCAGGTTGGGGTGGTCTTCTAGGAATTTGTTCTCTTGTATTTTTTTTAGTAGTCATACTTGTTTCATGCACAGACTTGTGGGGACATGTTCTTACTCATTTATTCCTAAAACTGTGTAGTTGTGCTGGCTTAGTCGGCTAAAGTATTGTAAATAACTTTTCATGCAATGAATGAATTGGAAATTCTTTTGAGCCTATAAAATTTAGAATCTTTTATGTTGCTCAATAGTACAGTCTTTTTTTTTTTGCTCAATAGTACAGTCTTTGGGAAATGTGCTACTTGAATAAATACTACTTTTTCTTCCCTATCAAAAGTTGTAATGGACATCTAGTGCTACATTACTTAATAAAAATAACCTAGGTATTTTCTTATGGATTTCTATACTACAGTATACTTTGTAACAATGAAATATTTTCTTTTGGGACTTAAAACGGATTAGTTGTAAAATCTTTATCTGAAGTTTTTGGGGAAAAATATAATTAAATTCATTTATCTCACTTAAAATTAGGAAGTTTAGAATTCACCATGGTCGGACATGTTAGTGATGGAAAACATTTTTTTAAATTTTATTTTATTATGTTAATCACATACATCATTAGTTTTTTTTTTTTTTTTAAAGATTTTATTTATTTGACAGAGACAGCAAGAGAGGGAACACAAGCAGGGGGAGTGGGAGAGGGAGAAGCAGGCTTCCCGCTGAGCAGGGAGCTCGATGGGGGGCTCGATCCCAGGACCCTGGGATCATGACCTGAGCCAAAGGCAGACGCTTAACACTGAGCCACCCAGGCGCCCCTACATTATTAGTTTTTGATGTAGCGTTCCATGATTCATGGTTTGTGTATAACACCCAAGCTATACTTAGTAGTTTTATTAAACTGGCAAATTGTAACGAATGTATAATGTTTATTTTGTTTTCTATACAGCATCATTAGTTATTCCTGCTGGTAGACCTCTTCCCAGTTTTACTACAGCAGAACTGGTATGTAGCCTATTTGATATATATTTTTAAGTATATGCCTTACTTTTAGTGAATGGTAGCAGGAGGCTGGGCATAGTTGTAATTCGTAATCCCCCATTTGAATGAGAAAAGATGTAGTAAGGGATGTGGAGACAGGAATAACTTCTAAACCAGACATGTTGCAAAAACTGAGGGGTTTCAGAATTGACATTTTCTTTACCAACTTTTCCTGTCTTCCAGAGCAGTTGTTAGCATCTGCCAATAGTATCTATAAATACTATTGTTAGTATCTACAAGTTCAGGAAATTTCTGAAGTTAAATTCTATGGAGTTTTAGTACACGGTATAATGTTATATACTAGGTAGATCCTAAATAGATGATGTTGATACTTTCTGATTTTTTTTTTTTAATAAGTTGAGCCACATAATAGTTCTTTTCATTTAAGTGTTTTGGTCATTTTTTATCTTTGTGTTGTAGAGATTTAGAGTATAGGTTTCCCCCCAAAGATTTGGGGCAGAAAATAAAATTACAACTTGTATATAGAAAATTGAGTAGTTTTCAGGTGGGGAAAAATAGCACTTTTCCTCTTTTACCTTTCTTCAGTGGTATGTAATCCATTGTTTTTCATCTTCTTTCAGCCCACTTTCTAGGCCAAAAAGTTTGGTGGGCCATTAATTTCCATTTCTTCATTAAAAACAAAACCACACCCCTTACCAGGATTTTTGGAAAGAATGGTGTTGCTTTTCATAGGAGACCAATGAAAAATACATCTGCCTTTGAAATTCTAGGGACTACTTTTTCTCCTGGTTAAAGAAATAATACACTTCTAAATAGTAAAAACAAATTATAAAGTAAAAAGTGAAAGAGCCCTGAAATATTGTACCCCAAAGATAACTGTTTTAACTGTTCGATGTATATCCATCTAGCATTCTTTTGTGAAAATTACATTAATTTTCAGGGTAAAAGTAGGCTCATTCTCTGTGCTGGTTCTGTAATGTTTTTACTTAGTAATATAGATGGATCCTTTTCACTGCCAGTTATATATTGACCTTAGTGGATGTATCAGTTTCATTAACTGATATTTTATTAAGGGACATTTAAATTATTTTTAGTTTTTTTTTCCTAATATAATTGATTATATTTGTAAATAAGTTTTTGTGTATTTGTGTGATAATCAGGTAATGAGGATACATTCCTAGAAGTGGAATTTCTGGGTCAAAGATTATGCATGTTTTCAACTGGGTTATATATTATATAATTGCCCTCCAAAAGGATGGTGCATACATACTCATATAAGCAGTGGTCTGAGAAAACTGGTTTTTATCACATCCTTACCAACACTGGGTGTTACTAATCAATCTTAGAAATTTTTGTAGGTCTGGTAGGCAAAAACTTTGTCTTTTGACTTAGCATTTGAAAAAATTAAAAACCCTGAGGTTTAATTTTTTTTTAAAGATTTTATTTATTTATTTGAGAAGGAGAGAGAGCACAAGCAGGGGAAGTGGCAGGCAGAGGGAGAAGCAGGCTCCCCAACAAGCAGGGAGCCCAAAGCAGGGCTTGATCCCAGGACCGCGGGATCATGACCTGAGCTTAACCAACCGAGCCACCCAGACACCCCTGTGGTTTAATTATTCTAAAATAAAAATTGTACACTATTGTATTAACTAATTTAAAGTACCATTAGTGATCAACCTATGGATTAGAGGACTCCTATAAACAGCTGTGGTTCTTGTATCTGACAATTTGAGGATCACGGACTCAGGCAAAGCTGTGTAGTGGAGAAGTTATAGGAATCAGTGTTCATACTGTTACTAAGACTTTACTGGCTTCATTGTGAATAGCCGTAGAACAGAATTCTTTTTATCCTTAATGAGATGATCTAAATCAAATATTGAAAAGCTGTTTTGTTCAAAGAACTTAGCCCCAGTGTTAAATGTCCAACCATTGTCCTGTTGTCCTGAATCAGACTTTTTTTTTTAATCCCTGTGAGATCAGGAAAAAAAGATAAAAAGCCTTCTTCTAACTTTCTAATTAAATTTCTCACATCTAGAGCACCTCAAACTCTAGTGCAAGCTTCACTTTTCCTGGTTATCCTATTCATGTACCAGCAGGTGTGACACTACAGACTGCATCTGGTAAGAGTATAGTCCCCATTAAGTTCTTTTTGTTTTTTTTTTTTTTGCATTGGTACTGAATGCTGGATGTTAATTTTCATGATTTTTAATAAACTGTATACCAGAAGTTACTGAAGTTACAGGAACTTTTAATACAACTTATTTTAAAAACAATAATAAATGGTGGTTATTCCTGTTGTGGAGGCAACCTACCATAAAAGACGCTGTCCTAGGTCTGTCCTGTAACTTATTCCCATTTCTCTTTCCCAGCATTATAAAAGATGCTTTATATATGTTTCTTTAATTCAAATCAATTATCTAAATTTTGACAAATACCAAATAACATACCTGTGTCCCTGCTAGCTCTAATCCAGAAAGACTAAAGATGACATTGATCAACCTTTGCCTCCTTTCTTCCTGGAGATCATGTAATAGAATATCCAAGTTTAGAAATTAACCAAACTTTGCTTTTTCAGAGTACTGTGTCTTGATTTGAAAGAGAATCCTATCTATTCTTTAGGTTTTTACAAAGTTTAAAGCACCTAACTCAGTGCTCAAAAAAATAGATTTCTTCCTCCTCCTTTTTAGTGTTGTTTTAAAGGAAAAAAGTAGGGGAGGGGATTTGATAGCTTTTGAAATTACTAAACTCTTGTTGGATAGCATTGTCTTATAGTAGTTACATGGTATCTTGGATCTTAAATTTATGTGAAATACATTCTCCATTATTATGTTTATTAAAATCCCAATTTGGGTTGGTAACATAGTAATTTATCAAACGATGGGATAGGTCCATGGAGTAATTATTGGTGGCCTATATGTATCTCAAAATGTGCCATATGAGCAGTAGTAAGAAAAGGCTAGAGTTCAAGTGAGATGGCTTTCACTGGTAAGAATAGAATAATACATATTTATTGTCGAAAACACAATCTGAAGAATAAAATAAGAGCTCGTGGAGATAACTATGAGCATATTGATGTGTTTTTGGACAGCCTTTTGTGCCTGAGGGTTTCTTTTTTTTTTTTTTTTTTTTAAAGGAAATTAGGTTTCTGTCATACTTACGGTATTGTTTTCTCCTTTTTGAGGTCACCTTTATAAAGTCAATGTACCAATTGTGGTGACACAGACTTCTGGAAGAGCAAGTATTCTCCATCCAATTCAGCAAGTATTTCAGCAGCTTGGGCAGCCTTCACTAATCCAGACCAGTGTTCCACGACTGAACCCATGTTCTCTCCACGCGACTGCTGAAAAACCAAAGAGAATAGAAACTGTGCTCCACCAACCCACAATTCTTCATTCTGGGACAGTGGATAGGAAACATTTAGAAAATGCCACCAGTGATATACTTGCACCTCCTGGAAATGAGCGTGAAATCATGTCTGAAGCTTTGTTGAGTCAGCCAGAAAGCTCTCAGTATATCCGTCTTCCGGGTGTTGTGTTTCCTCCACAGGTCTCTCAGACACACGTGCATGGGGAGCCAGTGCTCGGTGTTGCAGGCAGCATGACTCAGAATCTGAATGGTGGGCCTCTCTCCACTGGCCGACAGGGGGCCCAGCACCAGCACATGTCTGATATTCAGCTTCGTGTTCTTAAAAATAGGATGTTTGGATGTGGTTCTGTAAAGCAGCCAAGAAATACAGAGGAGCCCAGCAGCCTACCTGTCTCAGAGAAGGTAGTTCTCTGTTGATGTGAATGGTATCAGGGGACAGACAGCGGCGGGTGATTTGACATCCTGAGGTTTTTTTAAGCTGTCAGGTACTCAGAAGTATAAGTGTTCTGTTTTTTCCTTTAGAAGATTATTTATTACTGTTTTTAATATAGCTATCAGTTCTTATAAATGCCCAGCATTTCAAACTTTTAATTTCAGTTAATGAATTAGAAGAGTCTTCAAAGAAAATGGATTTGTTTTAAAGTAATCCATTTTACCTCTCCTTTACATTGTGAGGATGTTTGTTTGCGTATAAATTTAAAAGACCCAGAAATCAATCCTAGTAATTAAATGAAAATAAATGAATATTTTGAGGTAATTCTTAATATGCGAAAGAGGTCCAAAGTATTTTTTTAAAAGTTGCTCTACAAAATTTTCCTAAACTCCCATAAGAATGCTTTCCCTTATCCTGCTAGTACTTTATTTCTCCCTGCTTGCTGAAATATGAGTTAATGTCTTTTGGTATTCAAACTACTAAAAAATAGCTTCTAATTAACTTTGCATATTGAAAATAGGTTCAAATTATTAATTTCCAAGGAATTCATAGTGAGGGCAGACAGATTCATGGAGGATTTTGGATGGTAAAATTTAGAAAAAATACTGAATTCTTTTTACATATGTGAAATATGTCTTACAGCTAACTCCATTTATACAGTTTAGTCACATATGACAACTAATTAAACGTTTATGTGTCTAGCTAATGGTTTAGTGGTCCTCTAGAACTGCTGTACAAACCTGTAGCAGTGGGTAGTTAAGTGCTACTTTAACATTTTCCTAGATGGAAGGGAAAGGTACCGGGTACAGTGAAGGGTAATGAATGAAGAAAATGACTGTCAGAAACTGTTGGACCTGTTTTAGAAAGTTTCTGATGTTTGATGAAGCCTGTTCAAAATCTTGTAGCAAGTTGAGTTTTGGTATAGAGTAGAAAGATTAAAATGTTTTTTGAGTATTTTTTCATCATATTTTCCGCATAATATATAAAATTTGAGAAAGTAGGCTAAACTCATAATTAGGAAACATTTGTTTTTGAGGTAAAAAAAACTGTGAATTTAAAATAAGTGTGTGTTTTCATCACTTAAAATTTTTGGAGGCATTTTTCTCCTGAACTCTGTATGAACTTCGCAGAGTTTTGGTGTGATGATTCAAGGACTTACTCTGCTGTTACTTATGAGATGTCACCCTGTACTTTGTTCTGAAAGGGCAAAATAGATTAGTTAAGGGAGATTAATCAAGAATTGTTTAGGGGATAGTGGTTGCGAATTTAGGTTGAAGCCACAATAGGTTCAAATTCCAGATTGACCATTTACAAACAAGCTATGTAATGTTACTCTCTGAAATTCAGTTAAAGTCTGTAAACTGGGCATGAAACCAACCCTATAATTTTTAGGATTATCAGAGATGATTTGTATAGAGTTTGTAATAGCTTCTAAGCTTTAGATTAGTGCTATTACGCTTTATGGGCATGAGATAAATCGGGTAACTTTTCGTATAATTCTTTGGTTAGTTTTAAAATAGAGCTATATTTAAAACACAGACATCCAAATAGTCAAAAGTATTTACTTCATAAGGTGTTTTTTTTATTAATACACAACAGGGACTTTTCAAATAGTAGTAATCTGGTAAAATTTATGCTGATAAAATTTTTGAAAGAATTATAAATAGGTTTTTTTTTTTTTTAAGTAGTTTTTCAGTAATTCTTATTGCTTAAAGCAAGTTACAATTAAGTATACGTGTTTACTTGTCCTGTGCAGACTACCAGAGTTTCTATGTAGGTTTAACATTCTTACTGTTGCATAAAATATATTCCTGACAATTTTTGATGTGCTCCTATTTTAAAGTACGTATTACTATGTTAGGTTATTCTTATGTGTGGAAATTTTGTTTTATAATCTTAGAAGGCTACAGAGAACTAGAAACTCAGGTTTTTATTTGAACTCAAAAAGTAGGAGTTAGGAGAGAAAGGGGTATGGTAATGTATCTTGAACTATTTTTTTATCTCTTGTCTGCCCTCCCCATCATTGTCATTGCCCCACCTCCAAATACTGTCATTTCTGCTGCCTCATCTTTTAATTCTTTACTTGACTGCAACCTCTTACCTTCTTTCTGAGCTCCTTTTTATGTCTCTCTCCTGTTTCCAAAGGTTCTGTCCTCAGACTGTTTCTCTTCTTACTTGAAGTTTTCTTTGGGCGACCTCATGGATTATTACGGTTTTAACTACCACCTATTTGTTGATGACTAGGTTTCTAACCATATTACTCCCTTGAGCTTTATTCTCATGTCTGTTCGCCTTCTAGACAGTGCTACCTGAATGTCACAGTAATTCACTGGTCCTCTTCAGAGGCACTGCATGGTACCACTGCCCAGCTGGTTTCCCACGCTAAGGACTTACAGTTAACTTTTGGCTCTCTTTCCTTCTTATTTTCCTTATATCATGTGCTTTTTAAAAATAATCTTTAAAATTGCTGTAGAGTGTATACAACATACAGTTTATCATTTTAACCATTTTTAGCTGTACTGTTTAGTGGCATTAAGTACGTTCATGGTTGTGCAACCATTACTACTATCCATCTCTAGAACTTTTTCATTGTCCCAAGCCAAATCTCTGTACCCATTGTATAATTTCCCATTACCCCTCCATTCAGCCCCTGCTAACTTGTACTTTCTGTCTCTATGAATTTGATACCTCATAACTGGAATCATAAAATATTTATCCTTCCGTGACTGGCTTATTTCACTTAGCAAAAGATTTTCAAGGTTCACCCAGGTCATAGCATGTGTCAGAATTTCATTCCTTTTTAAGACTGAATCATGTCATTTGATAACTTTATTCATAACTTAAGTACTAAATATTTTGGGACTCTCTTCCCTCTTCGTCTTTCCTGCCGTTGTCCTCATTGTCTCTCATTTAAGATAATATAATCGTCTCCTAACTAATTTATTAGCCTGTAGTCTGCTTTTTTCACTCCACTCCTCCTGGTCCATCCATTTTAGAGGTTAAAGGCTTAGGCTTCAGGGATCAGAATTATTGATCCCTTCTGCATCCCTTAATAACTATGTGACTTGGGCAAGTTATTGTCTCCTCACATGTAATAAGGGTAATGGTACCCTCGGTGCAGTCACTGTGGGAGGATTGCAGGAGATGATCAGGGGGAAGTGCTCAGCAGCACACTACCTAGCACATGGTAGTTCAGAGTATGTTAGCTGTTATCTCAGGGCTTCTGACGGCTACCAGAGATTTACCCAGAATGCAGCCTGCTAAACAGGTCATTGACGGTTATTTACCTGCAAGGTAAAGTTCAAGTTCCTTAATGTGGCATGCAGGGACCTCCATGTTCTTTCTCTGCCAGAGTTTCTTACTTACTTTTTCTTCATTTCTTGCCTACTACTTTAGTGGGAATGCCAAACTGTGAGTGCTTCTCTGTTAACCTTGGTGTATCCTCCTCTCTATTGCTTTTGTTATTCCCTCTGCTTGGTGCCCGAATCTTCTCCTCCCGTCCTCCCCATCCTCCTCTCTGGCTAGTTGCTTCTTAGCCACTTAATACTTCCTCCAGAAATTTTACTTCAATGCCTGTCTACCCCCCTTCATTTTTGGACTGGCTATATCTCTTCTGTGTTATCATTGTACCTTAAGCATATGTGTGTCATCATGTAGTTAAAAGATAAAGTGTCCTGTTTGCTTTGAGAGGTATATTTTATTAATCTTTGTATACATAGCGCCTAAGAATATATACACATTCATGTATACTAGAATATACTGTCCCCAGAGTGGGGCTTGAACTCACGACTCTGAGATCCAGAGTCACATGCCAGGCACCCCTAGAATGTAAGCTTTTAAAGAACAAGATCTATGATTGATTATTTGGCTCAGTAGTTCTCAATCCTGGCTAAGTATTACAGTCATTGGGGCATTAGGGGCACCTGGGTGGCTCAGTCCATTGGGTGTCTGCCTTCTGCTCAGGTTGTGATCCTAAGGTCCTGGGATTGAGCTGAGGCCCCCCCTCCTTGGGCTTCCTGCTCAGTGGGGAGGCTGCTTCGCCTACTTCCTCTGCCCCTCCCCCCACTTGTGCTCTCTTTCTCGCTCTCACGCTCTCAAATAAGTAAAATCCTAAAAAAAAAAAAAAAAAAATCACTGGGGCATTGAAAAGTTCCCATCTACCCCCAAGAGTTTTAGATCTAATTAGTCTGGAATGGGGTCCACTCATTAGTGTTAAAGAGCTTTCTGAGGTACTTGTAATAATGTAGTTAAGATTAGGAACCACTGACTTAGATCAGTGTATGAATGAGAAATGGATGGAGTGAGGGGTTAAGAGAATATATAACTTCAAGAGCTTTAATTTTTCTTTCAAATCCATTCTGATACTCCTCTAAAAGATCAGTCATATCAATAGTAAGTTGAATTCAGAATTCAGTTAACTGAGCAAATATTTTTTGAGTCACTGTGTGTTGCTCCTAAATATTTCTAAATTAAAGATTTTTAAACTAGATGTGATATTTTTCTTTATAGGAAAAAAGCCAATTTAACAAAATACTATTTTGTGTTTGTCAAAATAAGGTACATTTCATGCCAGGTAAGAGTGGAGTGGTATGGGATGCAATTGTACATTGTCAGGTAATAGGTAATCATTATTGCCACTCATTATGTTACGGTAAATATGTGGATTAAATTTCTGTTAGGAGTGCAGATGTATGATGCCATTATGATTATAGGCAATTCAGTTTTACAGTTTAGTTAGAAAATGTGAAAAAGGGTGTTATAGCTTAGGTTTCTCTTATGTTTATCCCCACATATAGGTGTGAAGTTCTGTTAGTTCTCACTAGCCATTGGAAAAACACCGTTCTTTAATTAAAAGAAAGCTTAAATTGAAAGGATTGGAAACTGGATTTGGCAAACAAAGCTTTATCTTGAAGCCTTCTGTGCATTGGCTTATTGTATTACCCAAACACAGAAGCCATATACAATTGAA